CAATAGCAAATCTTTCATTCTCTTGGACTTCACCTTAGATTTCTCAAGGCCTATCACACCTGTATAACATCTCCAAGTTCAGACACTCACCTAACTTCTTTGCTCTTTACCTTGATATTTTATACACCTTTATAGATGAAAAGTACTTGGTTCCCATACATGACTTTTCCCCCTATTATGGCCTTGAAACTCTTATGCCTGTATCCTAGTGGGGATGAGGAGTGGGGAATCCCCCAAACCCTGAGAGTTTCTTTTTTAAATCATTCTTTTCCCAGAAAACTAGGAGAGGGGTTAAGGAAAGTTCTGTCTTTTCACGCAAGGGAAAGGAGAAAGCTCTATATCAGGAGCCACCTACTACTATGACCCTCGTACTCTGTGCCAGGGGCAAGTAACTGCGGACTGATCATGACTGGGTTTTTTTTATTTTTTTGATGAGTAAAGGTAGAGGTGGTTTGCTCTAAACAATTAAAACAAGTTACCACCTTCATGGTACTTCTACAGTAACAAGGTAGCAGTCAGCGACACTATTTTAAGAAATTTTCTTCTTGCCTTCCTTGGTCAACTTCATTAGGCTGAGTTCCACAGTTCACAAACAGTCCAAGGAGGGATAACAAAATGAGAGCTTGTTCATACAGACAATCCTGACTCATGCGTGGACTGTTTTTTGTTCTCAAATTGACTAGACATTTCTCAGACTCAAGGACAGCTGACAGAGGAAAATCAAGAACACCCACCATTTAGCTCATATATGTTATGGACTTCATCTTGTGCCCCCCCCCCCACACACACCAAAAAACTAGTAGGCTGAAACCTTTACACACTCCCCCTAGTGTGACGGTATTCAGAAGTGGGGCCTTTGGGAGGTGATTAGGTGTAGATGAGGTCATGAGCTCTCTCTCTGCCATGAGAGGACAGTGAGAATCTGCACACCAAGAAGAGGCCTCTCACCAGGAATCAAACCTGCCGGCATCTTGATCTTAGACTCCCCAGCCTCTAGAACTGTGAGAAGTGTGTTGTTTAAGCCACCCACTCTATGGTACTTCACTGTGGCAGCCTGAGCAGTGCAAAAAATTCTTTCCTTAACCTCCATAACCCATCAAGGAACGAAGGTCACACAAGCTATTCCAGAATGCTGTAACCCTGAATATTCCCATGTCCCTTCACTCTCTTGATTCTTAAAGAAATATTTATCAGATATCTATCAGGTGTCAGCCACTGTGGCAGGCACTTACGACACTGGAAACTAGAGCAAAATCCCTGCTCTATGATGCTGGCATTCGAAAGGGGCAAGAGGCATCAAATGATCACAATAGTTAAAACAGGGATGTGGTAGCGAAGGAACATTTAAGGGGGGAAACGGACTTAGTCCTGCATGTGTGAGCCATCTCCCCTGAAGAAGTGACGGTTGAATCGATCTCAATCTCAAGTCCTCAGGAGGAGTTACTCAGTGAATCGGGAGGGTGCGGTGTTCAGGTAAAGACCAGGAGGCTGAGAGAGTCTAGAATCCTTGCGCTGAGGGCAGTGACTGGGAAGGGCAGTTTAGCTGGATATGAGAGTAAAGGTGGCAGGGCCTGGATCATTTCATCTAAAAAAATTAGCAATATGAAGACTGGATTGGAGAAAGATGGGAATTTAGATAAATACTATTATCAATTTCTGCTTCAAAATCAGATATGCTCATCTGGAAAAAAATAAGTTCCCCATTGGAAAACTTCAGTTGCTAAATGGATTAAGTTGGGAGCCACCTGTTGGGAGACTGGAGTGCTCTGTGGCTGTGCGAGCTCCTCCAGGCCCTGCCCCCATCCCACCTTGAGATGTACTTTCTACACTCCCCTCACTCTGTGGTCTATAATGGCTGCTGCAGGTGGGTTAAAATGACATTTCATCAGATGACATGTAAAACACCCTTTTTATCAATTCTAAAGTTCAGGATATCCACTTTTACAATGAATTTCTACCCCAAACTGGAATTTCACAAACATTTTACTCAAGTGCTCCCTTACCCAGTGATCCTCATCAAGCTACACCTATCTCCACACACAGGGAGCGCCTTACAATGTAACATGTAAACCAACAGTGTTGTAACTTCACTCTAACAGAAAGGAGCAGCAATGGTTAAAAGCAGATATAAAAATCCTGAAAAGCACAAACATCCAGACCATCTAGCTGGGGGGCAAGCACTGACCTGAAGGTTTATGATTACAACAGAAACTACTGGTAAGCTGAATTTACCAAGACAGTTTTATACTCAAAAGAAAAAAAATTCACTTGAGAAAAGCTTTAAGAATCAAAATGTTTTGCAGTTTAGCTATCTGGAAAATTAAGTTATTTGGAGCTCCTCTTGACCAAAGATGGATACATGAAGGATTGTTCAGTCTACAAAGTCACCAGGGGAAGTTCCTTAGAGTCAAAGTAGTGTGCTAAATGTATTATAAACACAAATACTAATAGATCAATTTACCACATAAAAAAGAATGTGCTAGTAACTATCCCAACCACAACAAAAGACCAAATGGACTTAAAGAAAACAACTTTATTCCAAAAAAGAATTACCAAAAGAACCATGTTAACTCTGAAACATTTAACAGGTTTCATTTAAACTTACATAGTCACAAAATTCAAAATATCAAATGAAAACTGTGTGCTTGACCACTTTTAATGAAACATTAAAAACAAACATGTAGACTGCTCCACAATTTGGAAGCCATTTAGGCAAATATTTAATATTAAGGAAAAAAACACAGCAAAAACTGAAGTCTCAAATTTAAGAACGCCTATTCAAGTCTTTGATATGCATTTATATGCATGAGAAAACAAAGAGGATTATTTTAATTTAGAAGAAATCAAGTCGTTCTTCAAATGTGATCTCCTGTCTTGCTTTCATTTGGACTACACACCCCTCATGCTCCGTACTTCATCCACACTGAACCAGCGCTGGCCAATGACTGGCTTACCAGGAAGCCCTCCAGACCCCACTTCACACATCCTGTCTACTGCCCATTATTCCCTCACAGCCTTCTGAGCATTACCGCTGCCCTCGAGCTAGGGAATATCAGGTCTCCAAAGATAATTATATATATATATATATATATATACAATTCTGTTTTACTGCACAGTTCACAATATATAGCAGGTGATTATATAACTATATGGTAAGATGAATTTTGACTACTGAGACAAAAAACATCAACTTTGTCTCCAACACAAATGAAAGACACACAAATCTGCCACCATAGAGAGGTTGTGTTTATTCTGTGGTGCTCATACCACTCGATATATGTTGAATACAGAATCCATAACATCAGACACAAATAGAGGAGGCAAGACCGGAAGTGCCCTGCACTCATGAGCACTCTGTGCCACATATGTAACAGAAGGGGCCACTTTTAAAGCTTTGCAAATAGTTATTTGATCACATTTGCCTTTTCAAAATTACTGTACTAGTTCACACTGAAGGTAAAAACAATAGTTAGAATCTTACTTATTAACACATTTTGACTTCTTTTAAAGTTCAGACAAAGCTGTTGGCTACAAGTTCTGTTAAACTTTTTGTCAAATTTAAGAAGTCTAACGGACAACGCAGAACCATCCCTGGTAATGTATTTGTAGTTTGGTCTTCAAAAGCTATAAAAAGTGACAAAGAAATCAAAAAATATTTTGCGTTAAAACCATTAAAAGTATTTATTGTTGTAAATGCCACATATTTGAGACAGCAGAAACCACAGCATCTCCTTCACATTCGCACTTCACCTGTTTTTCACAAGTGCTTTAGAACTTAGCTTTCTACCACTTGCATGGAGTGTACAGACAAAAGGAAGCCTTGTGGAACCAAAGGCCGGTGGAGTCCACTCCCAGGGCCAGGGCATGACCCTAGGCTAACACACCTCCCACATGCTGAGCACCTAGAAAAGCCCAGGAGTACTCAAGGACACACACACACACAGGGAGGCAGGCACCACAGTACCAGTATCATTCATTTCTGAAGGAGCTGCTTCAAATCCTGACTTGACTATTTGATAGGCCTAAAGATGCTACTCACATTTATTTGGTGACACAGTTTTCTGAAATCCTTACACCTGTACCTTGGTTGCTAAAGTAAACTGCCATTTTTAGCACAACATTGTCAAACAGAGCTGTTGTAAATCTCCTGAGATTGATTATTGCCTAACATATGCTTGATTATGCTTCCTAATCCTTTTGGTTGGAAGAAGGATGTTCATTTTATTTGACCAGCCATACTGCATGTAGAGGTAAACATCTTTTTTGGACTATCTGCCCAGAAACCGAGTAAACTACCAATTGAGACCCTGATTTTATTTTGGTCATTATGTGTACATTTTCTATGCAATTACCCAGAATGATGAAAAAGTGGTAATAAGAAATCTAACTACTCTGCCATGTCAGGTGCTGGAAAGCACTATCTTAACTACATATTTACAGATGTTAATTTTTAAAAAATAACTGCTTTTCTAAGATGTTTCCTGTATTTTACTACTCAATTGGTGTATGAATCATTTTGCCTTATTTATTGTGAAATATATTTTAAAATCTGATTCCTTTGACAAGTTTTTGTTAGGTAAGGGATGACGAGATCCACCTATTACCAACTTATAGAAATTTTAAATTAACCTTTCAAATACCTTTATATTTAGATCTTATCCTCTCAAACTGAAATGATAAAAATGAGTTCCCAAAATGTAAAAATCCTAGAAGTCTTTATTTCCAAGATTGGGGGGCGGGGGTGAAGAAAAAAAAAAAGATAACACTGTGGGGTGAAAGCTACCCTGAGCTTTTTCCCCTCCCCCAAAACATTTAGAAACCAGAAAAAAGTCTTGAGATCCTATTAGATTTCCAAAATAAAATTTTATGAAAGTGTTTTTTAAAAAGGAGTTTCAAGAGCCCACCCAGTGTGGTTCAGTGGATTGAGTGTCATCCCATGGACTGAGAGGTCCCTGTTTGATTCCTGGTTAGGGCACATGCCTGGATTGGGGGTTCGATCCCCAGTACTGGGTATGCAAGAGGCAGCTGATCAATGTTTCTCTCTCTCTCCCTTAAAAAATCAATTAAAAAAATTTAAATGAAAAAGGAGTTTCAAGAGAATTGAACACTTGAATAAAACAAACTACTACCCAAAGAGGGAAAAAAAACCAAATCTGTTTGCTAAATTGGCAACAATAATTCAAAGAAATTGAGCTAGAGAGGGTTTGATCTTTATGCAATCAATATGAAACTTAATAGGACATGCCTGTGACAAAATTTAAGTTTCCCCATCTTTTGGCAATGAAATAAATGAAATTAACATAAGGATATTTTGGACAGGTTTATGATCACATTCAGAACTAAACAGAAAACTTTCAAATCTAGAAAGCAAACGGAGCTTTCATTAGCTGCTGGAGTCTACCATGCCTAAAGAGAAACAACTTGGATAATGACTATCCTAATAGGTGCCTTGTTTAAAAACCAATACAAGCAATTTATCATGAAAAGCCTATGCCTATTAAGCTCTTTTCTTCTCTGTCCTGCTCCTTTGTCCTCCAGGGTCTATGCTTAAGTTTAGGAAAGACTACCCTTCGCAACAACTCCTAAAAGGAGAGAAGCAAAAAGTGGAGTAATGAAAGTAAGCCTGAGAATTCAAGGGGCCCTAAGAGCCTTTTCTCTGGCTGGTCATGGCCACTTACGTTTACAGAAGGTTTAAAGATTTTTGGGGGGGCGGGGGGGAGAGAAAGCCCATCTTGGCTATTAGTTTCTTTGTCAAAAGCCATCCATTAGAGACAGCTATTAACCAAGAAATTAGCTTAAAGTTCTCAGGTAATTATTAGAACAAAACACAAAACAAAACCCAAAAAACAAAAACCCTTAAACTTTCCTACTGAAACCTTTTATTCTGAATTTGTTGGTGCTTAAGAAAACAGCTTTGCCCATGATTCACTGTGCCCTGAACTTAAGACACCAACCTATATTTGGCCAATCAGGAACTAGGCCAAACTACATTCTTCTTGGAAGGTCTTGTCAGTTAATAAATGGCACTCAACTGATGATTTTTCATGTAACCTTTAACAGGAATTCATAAGTTGCATTGATTATGCCCCAAGAGATGAGGGACCGGTGGTAATTCAAATGGGCACCTCTAAAAAGATTTGTCAGTTTCCTATCTCGTTCTAACCAGATTTTTTGGAAAACCTTGTGAAAAGATTGAAATTCCCCACCAATCTGCGATTGCATGCGAGTTTTTACAACATTAACGGGAAAAAACAAGATTCCCAACATGGCACCCAACAGACCTCCACAGATAAAATCATTGACCAAATGAGCACTGTGAGTTGTTGCAGTAGGCAGATGCTCCTTAATGGGACCCCGAAGGCCAAAAAACAGGACATTGCTGAATCCATTACGAAAAAGAACAGGTATCAAACCTCGATAATACTCTCCAATCCCATGGCATTTCAGTGCCTTGAAAGCCTGATAAGTGTTTGTAAATTTGTCATGATGCTTGTGGTCTTGAAGCAATGTTTGAACTCTTTCCAATGGAGTGAATATTGCTTCTGTTGTCCCTGCAAGTAATGCTGCCATGCTACGGGTTGCAAACTCGGGGGTACTGATATGCTTACGGAGAAGGCAAGATAAATCCTCATACAGACCAAACATAAGTGCCAGTGTAGTTGTCTTCTGCATTAATGGAGGAAGGATTCCGCGATACAGGTTTCGAAATCCATCCCTCCTCAACTGCAGCACTGCATCCCTGGTTTTGATTCCATACAGCTGTTGCCGAAAGAGGACCTTCTGAATGGGAAATGTGATCGCTACATTGTTGAAAGCTGCACAGCAGCCACACAAATAATGTTTCATTTCACCAACATCTGTAATATGAGGTGATATATCTTGTTTTGAAGATGTTATGATTGGTGACCTCTTTTTATGAGCTTCTGAATCCATCACGTGGCTTAAGATGTTTCCTCTTCATGAAGGATTTTTTTAACCTAGAAATAATGACAATAGGCAAACCTTTAAATACAGTGTTAAACACATGGATTATTTCCCCTAGTCCTTCCTCCAATTTCTGGACACTATTACATTTTCCCTTCTAGATCAGAAGTTCTCCAAGCCTTTTCAGGGGATCCCTAGAGGTCCCTGAGATCCATTCCATGGTCCAGGAGGTCCTCCCTGTTCCAACTACATACTAAGTGAGGCTGGATTTTCTATATATACTTCAACCAAAACAATTTACAACAGACTGAATGCAGAAGCAGATATGAGACCCTACCTTTTAAGCCAGACATTAAAGAAACTTGCAAAACTGTAAAGCACGTTCTTAATTTTTTTCAAAGCTATTTTTCATGAAAATATATTTATGTTAACATATAAGTTTATCACTGTTATTTTTAAGTAAATTAATATTTAAATTTTTTGTTTTAATTTCTAAGGCCGCAAATCTTTATATAAATAAAGGCTCTTGGGAACCACAATCATTTTTTAAATATGTTTTTATTGATTTTAGACAGAGAAAAGTATAAAGGCCCCACAGAGGAAGGGGTCATTAACTAGATGTCTGGAGGGAATGACAGGGCAGGCTGGAACCTTGGGCAGGGCTCTGAATGCTATACATCCTATGTATAGAAGGGTGAAGCACATTTTAGCTAAAGGTGTAGGTCCTGTCTCAGAGGAGTAGCAATATCATTCATGAGGAATCACAAGTCTCCCTTTAGCTTCAGGGATACATTCCAAGACCACTCAGTGAATGCCTGAAACCACACACAGTACCGAAGCCCAAATATACTGTTTTTTCCTATACATACCTATAATAAGGTTTAATTTATAAATTAGGTACAGCCAGAGATTAAAAATAATTATAATAATATACTGGTAATAAAAGTTATGTGAATGTGGTCTTTCAAAATATTTTATTATACTGTGCTTACCTTCTTGTGATGTGAGATGACAAAACGCCTGCATGAGATGAAGTGAGGTGAACGACGTAGGCACTGTGATGTGGTGTTAGACTACTATAAGGGTTACTTGAACACAGCACTGTGACACTGTGAGAGTCAATCTGGTAACTGAGAGGCCTACTAAAAGACTAATGTGTAAAAGAATATACAGTGTAGATGCGCTGGACAAAGGGATGATTCACGTCCTGGGAGAGAGACAGCATGAGATTGCACTGTGCTACTTGGAAAAGTGCATGCTTTAAAACTTATGTTTACTTCTGGAATTCTCCACTTAATATTTATGGATTTGGTTGGTCATGATAACTGAAACTGGGGGACTACTGTACTTGAGTTATGTCCTGCTAGAGCATAATATGGGTAGGAGATGGATGGGTGGCAAATGAGAATGGAGAATCAGGCCAGGACCTGTTAGGAAGAAGATCCCAAGTCCCTCTGACACTATGTACTATTTTTTTCCTTCCTCATGTGAAGCAAATGGAAACACTATTTTCCTTAACTAAGTCACATCAAGATCTGTGTGTCCTTTTCCCTGAAGACAGACTATACTAGGAAAATGTAACACTGGCCCAAAGCCTCTTTGGAGTTCCGGCTGGCTTGCTATCACGTTTCTATTAGGAAAGATAAACTTACCCTCAGTTGTTTAGAATTATGACTGGATACCACTGCAGGCCCAAAGTCTGCCCTAAGGAAGGTAATAAAAAGGGTCAGGAAACTTTTCTCCCCATCAAGTCCTTGGTCATACCTACAGATTTTGACAGATGCCAGTGATCCAACCTTTCACTGTCCACCCCCACGAGCACCAAAACACTGTTCATGAAAGAAACCTCATTTTTGGAAGAGGGCTAGGAGGGCTAGAAGCAGTGGGACTTATATCTAAAGGCTGCTTAGCATGGATGAGGAACAAAGGGACAATAAAAAGAGTCCCTGACAGATGCCCAATAGACACATGAAAAGGTGCTCAATGCAAATTAAAATCACAATGAGATATCACCTTACACCTGTCAGAATGGCTATCGTCAATAAATCAACAAACAAGTGTTAGGGAGGATGTGAAGAAAAGGGAACCCTCTGTGCACTGCTGGTGGGAATGCAGATGGTGCAGCCACTGTGGAAAGCAGTTTGGAGTTACCTCAAAAAATAAAAAATTAAACTGCCTTATGACCCAGTGGTTTCCCTTCTGGGAATTTATCCAAAGAAACATGAAATGTTAATTTGAAAGAATATATGTACCCCGATGTTCGTTGCAGCGTTATTTACAATAGCCAAGATTTGGAAGCTGCCCAAGTGTCCATCAGTAGATGGGTGGATACAATAGCTGTGGTACATTTAAACAATGGAATTGTAAAAAGGAAGAAAATTTTAGCCTTTGAGACAGCATGGATAGACCTGGACAGCATTATGCTCAGTGAAATAATCCAGTCAGAGAAAGCTAAGTACCATATAATTTCAGTCATACATGGAATTTAATGAACAAACTGAAATACCAAGCAAAATAGACACACAGAAAACAGGCAGACAGCTCTGGTGGGGGCATGAAGAGATTGAGGAAAAAAAAAAACCCGAACTCATGGACAACAGTATGGTGATTGGGGCGGGTGTGTGTGTGTGTGTGTGTGTGTGTGTGTGAAAGAGGGCATAGAGAGGATAAATGGTGATGTTAAAATTAAAACAGAAATAAAACTATCCCCTGGTATTCTAAAAATTTTGTTCCAATGCAATTACTTATTTTTTTGTTAATCCTCACCCAAGGATATTTCTCCACTGATTTCCAGATAGAGTGGAAAGGGGGTGGGGGGAGGGAGGGAAGAAAGGGGAGGAGAGGGGAGGGGGAGGGGGTGGGGGAGAGCTAGAAACAGGAATGTGAGAAAGACACATTGAGAGGTCCCTCCTTCACAACCTGAACTTTACATGAACCTGTTTTTACCTACTGCAGCATCAGAATACAGTTTATTACCTAGTGGGTCTTCCCCTTCTACTCTTCCTATTAGAATTATCAGATTTCCAGGCTCTTACACTTTTCCAGGTAAACTTCAGTGTATTTTTGTCATATTCCTCCCCAAAAGCTTGTTATAGTGAAGTGACTTTAATAAACTTGAAGAACTTTTTCAAAATTGAACCTTACTTCATAAGGATATAATGTCTTATTTGTATCTTCTAACAAACCTTAGTAGAATTTGAATATTTATGTTTAGGTATTTTACCTTTCAGTCACTATTATGAATGGGCTGTTTCCTTTCAATTAATTTTTTAACTGCTTTCTATCTGCATATGAAAAAGCTACCAATTCTTGTGTAATAAAGTTAGAACCAGCCAATTTACCAAATCTATTTCTCAGTTTTTTGTGGATTTGCTTTCACTTCCACTATATAATAATATCACAAATAATTCTGCCTTCTCCTTTATAATATGTATCTACCTTTCTTCTACCTTATTGGATTGGCAAATACTTACTGAATGAAATTGAATTATGGTAATAGTGAATATCCTGATATTTTCTTGACATCTGTGGGAACTTTGCTAGGGATTACGTGTTAAGTATGATGTCGGCTTTTGGTGTGACAGACACACAGAGTTCTTGTAATCCAAGTGTTCAAAATTCAAGTCCTAGCAGTTTCTAATTTACACAGGGAAACCAGTTATCATGACACAAAAATGTTCCCACTCAAGTAACCTTCCCCGTTTACTGCCTATCCCTACCAATCTTTAGGATTGTGTTGCAAATATAAAGTGAAGCATGTCTTCCCAGTGCTGTAATTTCATCTGACAAATTATGCTAAAAATTCCAAAACTTCATTCTGCATTCATTCTAAGATCCGCAATTATACTTTAAGCCCCGCCCACCACTATTTACTAGGAAATTATGTTTCCTATTAAAAATGGATTCAATTTTTCTAGTAGTAATGATCAACTGAGAATAGGGACTCTTAAGAGTTTTCAAACATGGAACGAGAATATGCATTATTCCTGTTTTACTATAGTTCAGCCATGTCTACCCCTTCCCACAAACACCAAATCAGGAATCTACCTTGAACTTCGGTCAAATGTTTTTAGGAAGTAACTGAGATGATCGTGTGGCACTGGAGGCAGAGCCAGTGTAACTTTTCTGAGTTATAGCTAATTGCCTGGGCTCAAATCTTAGCTCCACCACATATGAACTATGTGACCTCAGCAAGTCACTGAACATCTCTATGGCTTAGTTGCCACGTTTATAAAATCCGAATGTTACCTACCTCATAGGCTGGTTAATTAACTGAGTTAATACATGTAAAGCACTCAGGAGTCTAGAACACAACAGGTGCTCAACAAGGATAAACTATCAGCATGCTTTTTGGTAATTATTCTCCCTTGCAACATGGGTATAAATCCTACTTGGCCATGGAGAAATACTCTTTTAATGTATTGCTAAATATCATTGTCTAATATTCTATTTCAAAACTTCACATCACTATTCATAACATATAAAGTTTTCAATTTATTACCATCATCATGGCAAGTTCAGGGTCAATGTTCCATTGGTTTTGTAAAAAAAAATCTTATTTTTCCTTATGATGAACAATTTAAATCTTATCAAAATGATCCTTTCCTTGAAAGTTAAAAAAAAATCCCCCTACAGAAGGAGAATATAGCCAATACTGTGGTATGTTTGCACAGTGACATGCTTATCAGACTTAGTGAGGTGATCACATTGTAAGGTATATAAATGTTGAATACTGTACACTTGAAACTAATATAACATTATATACCAACTATACTTAAATGAAAACAAAACAAATTCACCTGTAACACCATCTGGGCCTGGTGTTTTGAGGAATGGTAGCTTTTTTGTAATGTTCTCAATTTTTCCCATTGTTAATGATCTGTTAGGTTCTCCTGGAGTCAATTTTGATAACTGAATTTCCCTAAAAAAATTTTTCTGGTTTATTTATATAATCTTATAAAGCTCTTTCTATTTTAAAAAATACTTCCAATCTTATGTACTTCTCTTCCCTTTTATCTTACGCAGGGTAGTCAAGTTATCTAGTTTACATTCCTCCCATCTTGGCAAAGAACCAATATTTGAATTTTCCAATTTTACTATTTTTTCCATTTTTAAGTTTTGTTTTTCCTCTTTATCTTTTCTCCAGCTTTGACTATGTTTACTTTATTCTAACTTTTTTTAGTTAGATGTTTATTTTTATTTATTCTTTGTTTCATAATTTTAAATGTTTAAGGCAATACATTTTCCTTTCAACAAAACTTGGTATTACTTTTTAAGATATTTGATGGAGAATTTTGGTCTGATGGTCACCTCTCCATCTGTGCCATCTCCTATTTCTTTGCCATGGTGACTTTGATTTGGAATGACTGTATATGCACCCTTTTCCAGAATCCAAGTTTGTGTTGGCTTTGAGCGTCATATATCATTCTTTTTTTCCCCCTTTATTGATTTTAGGGAGAGGGAAAGAGAAACACTGATGAGAGAGAACATTGACTGGCCACCTCCTGCATGCCCCCACTGGGAATTTGGCCCACAACCTGGGCATGTGCCCTGACTGGGAATCGAACCGGCGACCTCTTGGTGCATGGGTTGATGCTCAACCACTGACTGGGCTCATATCATATTTTCTTTATGTTCAGGAGAAGAGCATCTCTCTCATGGCCCACAGGAAAGATCCTATAGGAATGGAACCTGATATCTGGCAACTGTCCTCCTGTTTCAAAAGTGCAGTGACATATACACCCTCCTCAAGCTGACCTTCATCACTGAAAGAACAAAGCAAAAGTGCAAAGCCAGGTTTATCAAATCTGTTGCTAAGTTTTTTGCAAACAGTATATGCCAGTCATGGATGCATATGAGCATAAAGTAACCAGGCTCTATGACATTCTCACCACAGAAAGAAAAACAGCAAATTCTAAAAGTAGCCATCTTTTCTGCTAGATCGTACTGAATCACAGCGGGAGGGTGAAAGAAACAGAACTTTAAATGGACACAGTAAAAAATGTTAAAAGTGTCCATTTTAGCCTGAAATTTTAGTCCATTCTGGATAAACAGAATTTTCTAGCACAGATATGAGCTGAAATTCTGATCCCTTCTCCTTGGTCTGATTGTGTTGTTTTGACTTGCTTTTCTGGAAAAGCATTTTTGCTAAAAGCTACAGACTTCCTTCTTCATATCTAGCAGTACTTCAGTACTTTATATAGTATAGCACTGTGCCATGCAGCATCTGAAGACTCAGTTTTTAGAAACTGTTAACCAGTTGCTGACTTTGTGTTAATTTGTTTCAACAACTGTTTCACTTAATTCAGGATATAACTTCTTCTGTATGACAGTTTCCCTTCACACACACTTTTTGTGAGTGTGCATGTATATTGAGAAAATTAAAAAAAAAAAAACACATACAAAACACACCTTTTTAATTTGTTTATAAACAGACCTTCTCCCTGTTACATTCTGTGCTCTTAACCAAGTAAAGAAGCCAGTGGTGCCTGGCTGGTGTGGCTCAGTGGTTTGTGAATCATCCCACTGACTGATAGGTCCAGGTTTGATTCCCAGCCAGGGCACATGCACAGGTTTTGGGCTTGATCCCCAATAGGAGGCATGTGGAAGGCAGCCCATCCACAGTTCTCTATCATATGGATGTTTCTGTCTCTTTCTCTAAAAAATCAATGAAAACGTATTAAAAAAAGAGCCCGACCAGTGTGGCTCAGTGGTTTAGCATCAACCCCATGCACCAAGAGGTTGCTGGTTCGATTCCTGGTCAGGGCACATGCCCAGGTTGTCGGCCAAATCCCCGGTGGAGGGGCGTGCAGGAGGCAGCCAATCAATATTCTCTCTCATTGGTGTTTCTCTCTCTCCTTCTTCCTTCCTCTCTCTCTAAAAAAAAAAAAAAAGCCAGTGGCATTTTTAGTTTAAAAAAAAAAAAATTCTATAGATGCTCCAGAAGTTTGACAGAGTAGAGTTTGATAATTATTAATCACTTAATTTTCTCTCTCTCTTTTTTTAATCCTCACTAGAGGACATTTTTTCATTTTTTGTTCAGATAGAGTAGGAGGAGGGAAAAGAAGAGAGAGAGAGAAACATCGACGTAAAAGGGACACATCAGTGGCTGCCTTCCACTCCACCCCAACAAGGGCGGGGACAAACTGCGACCCAGGTACATGCCCTTAGCGGGAACCGAACCTGGGTCTCTCTGGACAGCAGGCCGATGCACTAACTGCTGAGCCAAACTGGCCAGGGTTAATCACTTAATTTTCTTATATCCTTACTTCTTACTGTCTCAGCTGACTGATATGAGTTTAAAACTTTTGTTAGTACTATACTACAACTTAGCATAGAAATGCTTTATATTTATGTAATGCTTTGTTACCTTCAGTTTCAGAAATAGACATTATAATCAACAAAAATATTCAGATTAAGGTACATAAGATTACAGAATACATTGTCAATTTGTGAATGAACATTTTTTTATTATTTGTACATAGTAAACACAACATATTTTAAATTCTAAAGTTGCCACCTACCTACAAGCTGTTTAAGTATACATTCCTTGATAATACAAAGTTATTTGTGCACTTGCACAAGATTTTGTCCATGTTAATTTTGAATTGTTACTGAAATGGTACTAGCATTATTATTATTATGTTTAAATCCTTATCCGAGAACATTTTTGCATTTATCTTCAGATAGAGCGGGAGGGAGAGAGGGAGGAAGAGAGAAACATCATGTGAGAGAGACACATCGACTGGCTGCCTCCCACACGACCCCAACAGGGGCCGGGGACAAACTGCAACTGAGATACGTGCCCTTAGTGGGAAATGAACCCAGGTCTATCTGGTCCGCGGGCCCACACTCTAACTGCTGAGCCAAACCGGCCAGGGCGGTACTAGCATTACTTTATAAAATTTTGCAAAGTTACTTCATCCAGTTTGTAATGACTCTTAGTAATATCAGGCCTGTTATTAAACAGAAAACAGTGGCTAACAGAAGTTAGCAAGTCATTTATTGACCATTGTATTGAACTACTTTAAGAAATTTAAAGAACATTACTGTATGTACACTTAGGATCTCAGATTTTAAAAATGATAGGCCTGGCCAGTTTGGCTCAGCAGTTAGAGCGTCGGCCCAAGGACCAAAGTGTCTCGGGTTCAATTCTGATTAAGGGCCTCAGTTTCGGTTCTGTCCGGCCCTGGTCGGGGTCGTGCAGGAGGCAACCAATGGATGTGTCTCTCTCATTGATGTTTCTTTCTTTCTTTCCCCTTCTCCCCCACGCTATCTGAAGATAAATGGAAGAATATCCTTGGGTGAGGATTTAAAAAAACAAAAAACAACAACAAAAATACAGGCCTCAACACGTGAAAAAGGAATGTAATGAACCCCAGACTTCACAGATTTAAAGCTTTCCCTCTAATTTCATCCTACACACCAGGATGGTGTGAACAGGTTCTTAATTTAGCAACAGAAGGAAAGACAGTGTGCACAGCATCCTGGGGAAGCGGAAGTTTAGAATTTTGCGTTTATCTATATTACGAACATAACTAAATTTCTTTGCTAAATTGATCTTGTTTTAAATTCTTTAACATGGATAACTGTTTTGCCAATTCATTGCAAAATTTATTTACCAGAGTTTTACACTCCCTAAAACACTTAACCTATCTTAACATTAGGAAGTGAAGTTAATGGAGTTGACTTTCAAGCAACTGCAAGTATCACATTTTTATTGCATAAGAAAACAGTGTAAAGTCTAAACACTGTAATTTACAGCCCGCTTAGATAAACAAGACTAAGATGTGATCCCAGCACAAAGGTCTTTGTGCAAAACTGTGGAGAAGGCAACTGTAATTCTCGAAGGATGTGAACTCCAGTTCCCTGGTCTGACTCAGCATTCAGAACAAGATCAGCCTGGGTTCTAGTCCTAGTATGACATTGTCTTGCTACTACATGTACACAGTAATGTCTATAATGTAAAAATCCATTCTCTGGGCTTACTTTAATCTACCAAAGGAGAAATAAAGTAAGTCCACTCCTCTAGAGGTAACATCGTGTGAGTTTTCCCTGAGACGCACTGAGGGTGACTCCCAAGTGCCTAACCTGTGCTTTAGAACCACTAGGGAACATGACCACTCCTAGCACCTTTTCATCATGGAATCCTTTCAAAGCATGGGCAGAGGAAGCTCAAAGTGGCAAGGTCACTACACATTTAAAGAGCTCCACAGCTTACTGGTAGAGAAATAGAAGGTGTGAATTAAGACCAGCAGTGTATAGCTGTAAGAGGTAAAATAAAAATTATGCTGAAAGGGTAACTATAGTTGAAGCATCGACATGCTACATCTAGCTAAGCTTAATATCAAATAATCAGTACAGAGATTTATATTAACAACACTGTCCTCCCCCCCCCCCCCAAAACCCTTGTTTGTACACTGAGTTTCGCACAACACGATGCAACATGGTGTCGCAGAATAAGCATTGTCTGGCCGTGTGGCTGAACTTACCTCTCTCCAGGCGTCCATTTGGCCAATCTGTGAGAAAGGGAAGGGCAGGGAGGCGAGGGGGTTGGACAGGAATGCCCCTGCAGTCTACGACATGCAACAGAGCCGGGGGTCCGGGTCCCTCCACCATCCCAGCGCCGCCCTTCTCCCAGGGCGCGGGCAGAGTGGCCCTTCCCCGCCCTGCGCTTCCACGGCGCTCCGAGGCGCCTCCCCGCTCAGGGCGCACCCGCACTAACACAGCCTCCTTCGCAGGAAAAGCTCGCTCCGGCGCCAGACGCCGTCCTGCTCAGTGAAGCCCCCCGGCAGGCGGGGAAGGCGGGAGCCGCGAACCTCGGAGCGCAGACCCGAACCCGCGCGGGGGGGGGGGGGCACGCAGTGCGAGCGCGCGGAGGGCTTGGGAAGTGCGGCCTCCTCAGACCCTCCTTTGTGCTTCCCCGCCCTCCGCACAGAGGCCGAGGGTTACCCCGTGCTTCCCCTCACCTGCTCCTCGCACTCACCCATCGCGTCGGGCGCCCGGCTCCGCGCCCGGCTCCACGCCCGGTAGCCGCCGGCCGGTAGGTCGGCGAGCGAGCGAGCCCGCGCAAGCGCAGACCTTGACCGACCCCAGTTCACCGGGCGTTAGTGACGCGCTTGCGCCGTCTGAGCCAGATCACGTGAGGGAGATGCCGCCACCACGCCCCTCCCTTAAAACGGCGAGAAGCAGGTGACGCCGACCTTCTCCTGCAGTAGGTTCGCCGCCGCAGGGCCAGTAGAGGGTCACCCATCACGTTAGTCGTGAGGCATGAGGCCTTCGTTCACCAAAACACCGTGCCCATGGCACCGTACGGTGGCCTTGCCGTGCCACAAACAGCCAACGCTTTCCCTAGCGTGCAGCCTGCGGGAGCACCAGTGGGACTTGCTAAGATTGGCAGGCTGTTGCCGTGAGGGCTTGGAAGTGCCCCCCCTCGCCCCCCTTTCTAGCCTTGGTTCATCAAACCTATGGAGGGGCCTTTTGACAGCTACCAACGCCACAATTTACAGAACACCTGTGTGTGCTTTAGGACTTACAAGTCACTTAAAAACCCGTTTCCTTTCGGCCTCAGGCAACCTGACGGTCTTGGACTCCAGGGGCAGTTAAAAGGCGGAGGTTAGGTAATAGTCCTGACACTTACTGGCAGTGACCTTGGACAAGTCACTGGGCCCTGAGCTCCAAATTCCTGTCTGAAAAGGAACGCCTGCCTGGCATGCATCCCCTGGCCGTGGTAAGAATTGCTGTACTGGGAATAATGGTCTGATGATAACTTGTAAACTGGAGGACACTCAGCACCTGTGAGGGGTTGAAGGAAACCCGAAGGGTCATTTTAGAGAGGGGAGGCCCTTCGGGAGGCTCAAATATGTAAGCGTATGCACTTCACTTGGGGGCGGGCCAACAGGCAGCTCCACCGAGTGAAGCATTAGTGGGGATGCGCTTTGGGTGGGTGGCTTTCCGTGGCCACCTTTCCCCAGGAGCACTTTGTAGATATTGAGTCCAAAATTTTGTCTGGTCTGCTTGAGCTGGCCCGTTTAAACTGCTTTCGGGAATGTGGGAGACCATGCTACCTGATCTCAGCACACACTCTACTGAGGTACCATTGTCGATGCCTGAGCTCGCTTGGGGAAACTTAGAGTCGAGTGAAGGATATAAGAACAAGACTGCAGTTCAGAAGCACGAGGGGCCTTTTTCCTTGAGAGAGAACTGGGAAGGCATCCCAGGGTAGGAGGTGTTTGAACTGGGCCTTGGAGGATGAATGAGGGGAATTTGGACTTGTAGAGAAAGTTGTAGTGCAGGAGATAAGATTGTAAAGGTCAGGTGGTAGGGTCTGATAGTGCAAATCTTGACCGTCAGACACCGGCACCAGGCATGTAATTGGTGTGCAGAGGTAGATTTTGGACTCCGCAGAACAATGACAAGGCCACTCAGTGATCTGGAGTGATTAATCAGGCAACAGTCCGGGAAGGGCATTTTTCTCAAAATTGTGTTTGCCCTGTCTTGTGTGGATGCCTATTCAGATGTATTATTTGAAAAATAAACAAATCAGGCAGGCATCCAGCATTTCCATAAGCATAAATAATTCATTTCAAATTAGAATGGAAGGTTATTCTCCTGTGGTAAAACCTGAAAAGGAGGAAAAGATGGAAATTAAACACACAATTGGGGAGATCCCAGGCGAGCAGAAACACTCCTGTCTGGAGCAGAGCCCGTCTGCTTTTTTTATGCTGTAGGCCACAGTGCAGTCCTCTGCCCCTCCAGCTTTAGTTCCTTGTCAGAGACCCCAGGGCCCTTAATTGGCTCTTCTTGGGTGTGTGAATGTTGAAAACCAAAACTCTATTTTCTGATTCAGGATTCATCATAAAGTTAACCTTTCATTTCTCTGTACACATCCACCCATTCTTTTTTATTTTATTTTTTAAATTACAGTTGACATTCAATGTTATGTTAGTTTCAGGTGTACTGTATAGTGGTTAGACAACACTTATGAAGTGATCACCCCATAAGTCTAGTACCACTGACACCATACATCGATATACAATATTGAAATAGTGACTATATTCTCTCTGCTGTACTTTACATCCCCATAACTATTTTGTAACTGCCAATTTGTACTCATTAATCCCTTCATCTTTTTCACCCAGCCACCAACCCCTCTTTCACCTGGCAACCATCAGTTTGTTCTCTGCATCCATTAGTTTGTTTACTTATTTTGTTTTTTAGATTCCACATATAAGTGAAATCACGGGGTATTTGTCCTTCTCTGTCTGACTTATTTCACGCAGCATAATACCCTCGAGCTCCATTCTTGTTGTCACAAATGGCAAGATTTCACTCAGTTTTTTCTGAGTAATATTTCATTGCATACATGAACCTCCTCTTCTTCATCCTTTTCTCTATCAATGCGCACTTAGGTTGCTTCCTTATCTTGGCTATTGTAAATAATATCACAAGGAACTAGGGATGCATATGTCTTTTTGAAGTAGTATTTTAGGTTTCTTTGGGTAAATACCCAGAAGTGCAGTTGCTAGGTCATTCTTTGTCTCTTGCTAATAGCCTTTGTTTTAAAGTCTACTTTGTCTGGTCTGGCCAGTGTTGCTCAGTGGTTGAGCGTCGACCCATGCACCAGAATGTTGCTGGTTTGATTCCCGGTCGGGGCACATGCCCAGGTTGTGCGCCCGATCCCCGGGGGGGGGGGGGGGGGGAGCATGCAGGAGGCAACCAGTTGATGTTCTCTCTCATCGATGTTTCTATTTCTCTCTCCCTCTCACTTACTCTCTCTCAAAAATCAATAAAGTGAAAAAAAAAATAAAGTCTGTTTTATCTGATATAACTATTGCTGCTACAGCTTTTTATTTCTTTTATTTCCATTTGTATGAAATATCTTTTCCCATCCCTTTACTTTCAGTCTCTGTGTCTTTCAATCTGAAGTGGGTTCCTTGTAGACCGCATATGTGTGGGTCTTGTTTTCTTATCCAGTAACCTTATGACTTTTGATTGGAGCATTTAATCCATTTATAATTGAAGTAATTATTGATAGGTATGTAGTTATTGCCATTTTATTATTCATATTTTTATCTTTTTTTCTTCTTCCTCATGAAGTTCCTTTAACATTTCTTGTAATACCAGTTTGGTGGTGATGGACTCCCTTAACTTTTTCTTGCCTGGGAAGCTCTTTATCTTTCCTTCAATTCTAAATGATAGTTCTGCAGTATAGAACACTCTTGGTTCTAGGTGCTTGCTCTGCATCACTTTGAATATTTCATGCCAGTCCCTTCTGGCCTGCAAAGTTTCTGTTGAGAAGTCAGTTGACAGTCTTATAGTAGCTCCTTTATAGGCAACTAACTGCTTTTCTTTTGCTGCTTTTTAAAATAATTTATTTCCAGCTTTATTGATATATTGACATAACATTGTGTAGGTTCAAGTGTACAAGAGGATGATCTGATACACTCACACATTGCAAAATGATTACCACAGTAGGATTAATTAACACCATTATCCCAAATAATTATCGTTTCTTTGTTGTGATGAGAACATTTAATACACTCTCGGCAACTTTCAAGTACACAATACGGTATTATTAACTACAGTCATCTCTCGCTGCTTTTAAGAGTCTCTCTTTATCTTTAACTTATGGCATTTTAATTATGATGTGTCTTGGTGCATATCCACACATTCTTCAGTCTCTTAAACTGTTCTCTATTCCTCCAGCCTCCATATCACCTGTCAGACTATATATCCTCCAACCTGGCTTTGATCATATCACTCCTCAGCCTAAAAACCTCCAGTGGTTCCCTCTTGCTTCTCCAATAAGTCCAAAGTCCTTCACCTGGCACGAGGGCTGTCTGTGTCCTGGCCCCTCTGCCTACCAGTTCACCTCATTCCCAACTACATCCTGTGCTTCAGCCATATGCAGCCATCCTGTCGGTGTTTTGCAAATCCTTGTGTTCTTTAAGCCCTTTCCCCTCTTTCACCAGGTTAACCCTTCAAGGTCGGTTGCCTCCTCCTCTGGAAAGCCTTTTACCCTGCTCACTAGGGCAGAGTTATTGGATTTCTTTCTGGTTTTCCAACTCAGCGCTTGGCAAAAAGGATGCTTGCCCAAATAAAATACTGGCGGAGAAAGCCTGGGTTCTTGGGGAAAAGGGAACTGTTGCTGCTGGATCTTTTTGCTTGAACACTCTCCACCCTCCTCCACCCCCAAATGCTTTCTAGAAAACTGTCTAGTGTCCTCAGGCTCCATGGGCCCTTCTGTCCACAAAAACAGCTCTACACAAACTGTCAGTGGAGTCTTGCTACTAGGAGTGGCTCTGCCCAGATAAGGTCACCTCAGGTCACTCCCTAGCAAGGGGTCAATGACTCCTTTCTCTTCAGCTCACATTTTCCAGGCCTCTGCAACCCTCAGGGCCTATCTCTGCCACTCCCCTTTCTATCCCCAGGCTCCAGCCATGATGCCAGCACTGCTGGTTCCCTTCCATGAACTTGCTGCATTCTTTTACACGCCCACAAACTGCGTACATTTTGTCCTCTGAGCCTGGAAGTTCTTGCCTGCTGTTCACCCTTTACATACAGAGCTTCTTGCTGCTTTCCCTGACCCTGAACTACCTCAGGCTGCAGAGCACCCCCACTGTACTGTCAGCCCTGTCCCCTCACCCTCAAGGGTGTCCTTGAATTCTTTCTGTTCCTGGAGCTGGTGGCTCACACTCACATGATCTACATATATAACACACAAAACCGAGTAAAGGTGTTATCCCACAAGCCTGTGAGATGGGGCGTTCCATTTTTTCATTAATTAATTTTCATGCTGGTGGGGAGTGAGTCTGTTTTACATCAGAATGATCTGGGAACCTTTAAAAAACCAAACCAACCAACAAAATAGAACATGAGAGATTCTCATTTAATTCGTCTGCAGTGGGACCTGGACCTTAGTAGGTTTTAAAAGCTCCCCAGGTGTGCTGAGGTTGCTTCCCCAGTGTGCTGGGGAATTAGAGTCACCTGAATTTGCCCAAGCAGCCCCGTGATCCTGGACCTGCTGCACAGATAT